TTTTCTTCATATTGATTGCTGCGAGTTCCTCTGAGAAAATTCTGAAGGAGTCAAAGGCAGGTGAGGCGGTGAGTTTGGTGAGTTTCTGAGGGTTAGTGACCAGTTTAACGTTTACACGACGTCGTAAATTCTCCATGGTTTTACCGAACACGGCATTGTTCATCAGTTTAAAAAAATCCTTCTCGAAGTCATTAGAGGCCTGCTTTCTTTTATCAGTATTAAAGTCTATGTATCGTTTTAACCAAGTGCTTTGGACAAATCCAAGGATTCGATGAATTTTTGTAAGTTTCAGACCAAGTGCTAGGTACAGTTTCAAGTTGCGATAATGAACAATGTAGTTGGTTTTGTCACGTAGGTTGGGTACAAGTTTGGGAACAGATGCACCACCAAGTTCATCGTTTAACTCTTGACAGTAGGGGGATAACATCTCAGGAGTAACCTTCATCCTTTCTGGTGCTAAAGGATAATCAGAGTGTAGGTTATGCAGTTCTTGTGGGTACTCCAAGTCCACTTCAAGTATGTATCCATCTTCATTATCATCTGCTATGCTTGTAACATCAAAGTTAAGTATTTCGGTTTCTGTTAACCAGAAAAAGTCGTGTGTAGGAAGTGGTTGGCTCATTCCCCAACCGTATAAATTATTGGCATCCAGGTAGATGATGTAGTTGTTATTTTGAGTTTGATCATAATCAGGTACATAGGGATTGTTTGCTTTACTGTAACGATTGCTAATCATAGAAATACCACCACGAATTCCTTCTTCAATAAACAAATACATGTCAGGATCTGTTAAAAGTTCTAGTTCTACTTGTGTCATCTTTAAACACGCCGACCAGGCTAAACCAGGGCTTGTGTAGAAATGTGCTGGGTCTAACTCGTAGTAATTAAGACAGATGTTACGAAAATTCTCAAATACATCTGCAAGAAGTAAGACATCTGAAACCAGGTAGAGGTCGTGATATTCACCAAGGTTGTCTAATTCAAAGGATGAGAAGACATTTTGTGCATGTAGGTAGTCTTCATCTGAGATATTCTCTCCTGTTAGTTTACTGAAGAAGGCTTCTTTGGGGGGTAGTTGTGTCTCTTGAAATCGTTCAATGGAATCCATGTAGTCATAGGGATAAACACCTTTCCTCAGTATCAATGGAACAAGTTCAGGTTTAATGTATTTCTTGACGGTATGAAACTTAGTTTCTCCTTCCTTAGAGAGGTTAGTCACCAGTCTCTCCAATGATGAATTCATAAATTGTAGAGAGTCGATAAAGTCTAGGTTACCGAGTGAAAAGGAAATATACTTCTCCAGGTTGTTAGGGATACAATTGATGGGTTTGTCTTTAACCTTGCCAAGTGCTTGCATGATAAGATGGGAGTCATAGTTTTTTAAATTATGGAGAATTACAGGGACACGCCCATTAAATTGGTAGTTGAGGTTGCATAAATTATGTGCTGCTGCTCTGAATTGGCCTGTCACGTGATTATGATCACGGACTTTATCCGCTCCCAATTCTTCTCCACAAATATGACAATGCGTTGCTGCTTGAAACGCTAATTCCTCCTCGGGAGTGAGTTGCATTGGAACAATGTCTTTCAACAAATTACTGATGCGTTCCTCTTCCTTCAGGATTGATTCCAAAAACCGTTCTACCACATTCTCCCCTCGATATAAGACTGGTGGTTGGCAATAGTCTGACCTCTCAGAGACAACAATGTATGAAAATCCACAGGCTTGATGATGCTGGAATTTCTCTGTTGAGGATTTGTTGGGATCAGAAGATGCCGAATCTATCTTTGCTGTTAAACTTTCAAAATCCGCGTAAATAACAAACGGTACACGCAATTGTTTATGATACTCTTTGAAATGTAGAAACATGTTCTCCTCGTTGGGTAACTCAATTCGCTGTGCTCCATGTTGACTACATCTAGGTTGGTGATCATCTAAGAGGTCTTGGCGCACAAAACCGTGAAGACAATGTGGGCAATGATACATCTGGCCTTCATATTTGGTCTGGCTTGAAAGAAGTCGATTAAGATTCCTGATCAAACAATAATGACGCTGTTCCCCTATGGAGTACAGGAGAAGATTGACATGGACATCAAATCTTTCTTTGGTGATGTAAACCGGGAAAAGTAGTCGATCTTCAAAACCGAACACATTCACTGCAATTCGGTTCTGTTTTTCAAACTTTGGTATCTGGTTGATGGTAACTGGGAACTCGATACCATCAAAGTTCAATTCATTAATATAGGGTTGATAATGATGGATGCGTTCAGGATTGAATTGATAATTGATTGGATGTACTGCTGCTAATATACTCCACATAAAACATTTATTGTCACTGTTCTTAATATTTAGAATGGCTTTCTTATCTCTCAACTGTTTTGGAAGAGGGAGGTAACTCGATCCTTTGATAGGGGTGTATTTGGCAATGTTTAAGTCGAGGTGGAGTACTTCAGACAATAACCAACCACTACCTTCCCTCTGGTAGGCTGTAAACGCACCTACGACCTTTTGGTTGGCTTCTTTAAGTTGCTGCTCAAGTTCGTGTGGGTTCACTGATGTCATACACGAACTTCTGAAATGCGGTTCTGAGAAGACATCAGTTCCGTCTGACTTGTGTTTAACCAACTTTACTTTAACATTTAGAGACCATTTGATACCTCTTTTAGAGGCAAGTTCCTTTTCAAGTCGATGTAATAAAACTTTATTTTTTCCTTGCAAGGAAACTCTAAGATCCAACTTTTCTTTCTTTCGAGGTTTATACTTGAATGTTTTCAATGAATCCTGTATGGCTGAAGTTATTTGACATGGATCATCGACGCTATATGAATTATCTTCCTTTTGTTCTTCGGTTTTTYGTTGTTTTTTAGGAGACTCACCGCTTCCCTCTTGATCAAATGAATTAYACTTTCTCTTTTTATCATCCTGTTTGTACAAATCTTTATATTTACAAATGGCTTCATGCTCCAAGAGTTTATCTTTTCGATAAAAGTTTCTAGTGCAATAACCACAATGGTGTGACTTGTCTTGAGARTGTTTCTTTCTATGTMGATTTAATGCATCTTTACGGCTGAATGATTGCTCACACTTGTCACAATTGAAAGATTGTCCATTGTGAAGTGTTTTCTTATGACGGGTTAAATTAGTCTCTTGATTAAATGATTTTTGACATACATCACAGGTAAAAACCATATTTCTGCTGCTTTTGTTTGGTCTGCTCTCTTCCGTGGTCAACRACTTAATGACCTCATAGTCCTTTTACATCAAGATTTATACCTTTGACTTGTATCCATTGATGCGTATCAATTAAATYGAGGCATGYGATTGGTTATAAGAAAAGATGTATTGTGACGTCATGCAAACATGTTTGAACTTGTTCAGAATTAATTAAGCTAGTACATGTACTTTCACAGTGAATCAACACTCTAATCGCGCATTCTTTGTGAAATGATCATCAGAACTCTAATGATTATCAAAATACATGTGGCCTTCAAGTTTATTTCAAATCTAGTCAATTATCAATATATTATTCAGTGTATTTAGAATGTGCAGTGTTTGATAAATACAAATGGATTTATTGTCAGGGACTAATAAAGATGAGCACAGAGAAGCAATGTCAATATTAGAAACGATAGGCTTAACGTACACAAAACTGYCTCTTGTTTATTTGGCTTTGTTCCCTGCAACCGTAAAATTTATAACGCTCAACCTTATAGAATACATTATAGTGTATGGCGTGATTTTCATGCGTAATGTGTATTTTCTAATAGTTCGAAAAGCACTAATTCAATAGTTCTCTATCAYATCCTAGTAAAAACTTACTAAGCAGGACCGGTGTGTGAGAGNCGAATTGCAGTGAATGTGTTCGGTTTTGAAGATCGACTACTTTTCCCGGTTTACATCACCAAAGAAAGATTTGATGTCCATGTCAATCTTCTCCTGTACTCCATAGGGGAACAGCGTCATTATTGTTTGATCAGGAATCTTAATCGACTTCTTTCAAGCCAGACCAAATATGAAGGCCAGATGTATCATTGCCCACATTGTCTTCACGGTTTTGTGCGCCAAGACCTCTTAGATGATCACCAACCTAGATGTAGTCAACATGGAGCACAGCGAATTGAGTTACCCAACGAGGAGAACATGTTTCTACATTTCAAAGAGTATCATAAACAATTGCGTGTACCGTTTGTTATTTACGCGGATTTTGAAAGTTTAACAGCAAAGATAGATTCGGCATCTTCTGATCCCAACAAATCCTCAACAGAGAAATTCCAGCATCATCAAGCCTGTGGATTTTCATACATTGTTGTCTCTGAGAGGTCAGACTATTGCCAACCACCAGTCTTATATCGAGGGGAGAATGTGGTAGAACGGTTTTTGGAATCAATCCTGAAGGAAGAGGAACGCATCAGTAATTTGTTGAAAGACATTGTTCCAATGCAACTCACTCCCGAGGAGGAATTAGCGTTTCAAGCAGCAACGCATTGTCATATTTGTGKAGAAGAATTGGGAGCGGATAAAGTCCGTGATCATAATCACGTGACAGGCCAATTCAGAGCAGCMGCACATAATTTATGCAACCTCAACTACCAATTTAMTGGGCGTGTCCCWGTAATTCTCCATAATTYAAAAAACTATGACTCCCATCTTATCATGCAAGCACTTGGCAAGGTTAAAGACAAACCCATCAATTGTATCCCTAACAACCTGGAGAAGTATATTTCCTTTTCACTCGGTAACCTAGAYTTTATYGACTCTCTACAATTTATGAATTCATCATTGGAGAGACTGGTGACTAACCTCTCTAAGGAAGGAGAAACTAAGTTTCATACCGTCARGAAATACATTAAACCTGAACTTGTTCCATTGATACTGAGGAAAGGTGTTTATCCCTATGACTACATGGATTCCATTGAACRATTTMAAGAGACAMAACTACCCCCCAAAGAAGCCTTCTTCAGTAAACTAACAGGAGAGAATATCTCAGATGAAGACTACCTACATGCACAAAATGTCTTCTCATCCTTTGAATTAGACAACCTTGGTGAATATCACGACCTCTACCTGGTTTCAGATGTCTTACTTCTTGCAGATGTATTTGAGAATTTTCGTAACATCTGTCTTAATTACTACGAGTTAGACCCAGCACATTTCTACACAAGCCCTGGTTTAGCCTGGTCGGCGTGTTTAAAGATGACACAAGTAGAACTAGAACTTTTAACAGATCCTGACATGTATTTGTTTATTGAAGAAGGAATTCGTGGTGGTATTTCTATGATTAGCAATCGTTACAGTAAAGCAAACAATCCCTATGTACCTGATTATGATCAAACTCAAAATAACAACTACATCATCTACCTGGATGCCAATAATTTATACGRTTGGGGAATGAGCCAACCACTTCCTACACACGACTTTTTCTGGTTAACAGAAACCGAAATACTTAACTTTGATGTTACAAGCATAGCAGATGATAATGAAGATGGATACATACTTGAAGTGGACTTGGAGTACCCACAAGAACTGCATAACCTACACTCTGATTATCCTTTAGCACCAGAAAGGATGAAGGTTACTCCTGAGATGTTATCCCCCTACTGTCAAGAGTTAAACGATGAACTTGGTGGTGCATCTGTTCCCAAACTTGTACCCAACCTACGTGACAAAACCAACTACATTGTTCATTATCGCAACTTGAAACTGTACCTAGCACTTGGTCTGAAACTTACAAAAATTCATCGAATCCTTGGATTTGTCCAAAGCACTTGGTTAAAACGATACATAGACTTTAATACTGATAAAAGAAAGCAGGCCTCTAATGACTTCGAGAAGGATTTTTTTAAACTGATGAACAATGCCGTGTTCGGTAAAACCATGGAGAATTTACGACGTCGTGTAAACGTTAAACTGGTCACTAACCCTCAGAAACTCACCAAACTCACCGCCTCACCTGCCTTTGACTCCTTCAGAATTTTCTCAGAGGAACTCGCAGCAATCAATATGAAGAAAACCAAACTGTACCTGAATCGTCCTATCTATGTGGGGTTCACTATTCTTGACTTGTCAAAGGTTCTGATGTATGACTTTCACTATCATCACATTAAAGCAGTATATGGTCAACGTGCCACCCTTCTCTTCACTGATACAGATTCACTATGTTATGATGTTAAGACTGATGATATCTATCAAGACATGAGATGYAACCTCGAATCCTATGATACCTCAGAATACCCCACCGACCATTTCCTTCATAACACAACCAACAAAAAAGTGATTGGTAAAATGAAAGATGAGACGCACGGAATTGCCATCCAAGAATTTGTAGGCCTGCGTCCAAAGATGTAYTCCATTTTATATACGGAAAATGAGAAGTCCGTAGAGAAGAAAACAGCGAAAGGAATTTCAAAAAATGTAACAAAAAGAAAGATCAGACATGAGGATTACAAATCATGTCTTATTGAAAAGAAAGCACAGATGGCAAGCATGAATCAAATACGAAGTGAACACCATCAGTTGTACACAATGACATTAAATAAGACAAGTTTRTCACCATATGATAATAAGCGATACCTTCTAGATAATGGTATAAACAGTGTAGCATATGGTCATTATAGCATAAGCAACTGAATATGCATATTTGATGGTATTTGATTGTAATCAAATGAATATAACCGGTAACGAATTCCAGTAATGTGTATAAAAATTATAAATTCATAATCGTCACAATAAAATATTTGAAGTGTACTRTGTGCTGTTGATTTGATTACTTCTTTTTAAGTAATGGTCCGAGTAAGAAGCAGGCAAGCAAACSGCAATGGAATGCATGAAGGYGCTAATTTCGCATTGTATWATCCATCCATCTCATTGGTTAAAACATTAAAATTTGACATAATTTCAAAAGTAAGCGCAGTTTTAAATATTTTATTTAATATCTGATTCCGACTTCATAAAAGCTTTCCTTAGCTTTAATATTAATAGCAATTCTATGTGGGGAACATAGCAAATTAGAAGCATTTTTTGGCTATTGTTTTGAGTGCTTATGATTGGACAAGATCTTTTAATACAAAAGAAACTTTGTTTCAAAACAGAGTTTATTCACATTTTATTTTATAAATGTGTTACCCATAGGTTGATATATAATCAGTGTGAAGACCAAGACATTCGTATGTGGGGAAGTTGCAATTGCCGCAGAACAATAGAAAGTTGCCTGCTTTTTGCTCGCATTGTTAGTAATATATACAATATGAGCGGGCGATCTGTATGTAATATACAACTCTCTTCATGGGCTATGATTTCTATTGTGTTTTGCCTTATGAATATTAATGAGTTTTAAACTTAACATACAAATCCATTCAATTGTTATTTATAGGATGAACTACTACTATTATTTTTGAACTAGACGCATAGCTGCATGAGCTCGGGGTTCTTGTTGATACAAATCGAGTAGTGAATCCGCAATATAGATATTCATCTTAAATTGTTATATCGATAAAGTTGGTATACTTTCGCAGTTGGTATACTTTTTTTAAGAGAAAACCCTGCTTTGCATAGCAAGCATTGCATAGTACCAATAAATATCACCCTTTATTTGTAAAGCGAAAGTTTGTCTTTTGTTTAATTATTTTTACTAATTTATGTTTGAATTAATTTTGTAATTATCTACTAATCACAATGACATATTTTCAGTTTGTATGATCATTGAAATCTTTGCCTGCAAGCCGTCCTCACTTTGATAGGAGTCACATGGCAGGCTATAAACAGAGTCCTTTATCTTCTCCACTAAATAAAATACTTCCAATCGTCGGTTTTTCCTCACTAGAACTCTGTTCGCATTCCTTAGAGAAGTCCTTTGTAGTTTCTGAGCCTGTATATGTTAGTATATTGTTCGCTTTTGATAAGATACGTAGCTTGTTTGATAGAAAATCGATAGAATTTCACGATAAGTTTCACGATAAATTCGGTGGTATCTTTCAAATTGCCCTTTCGAAAAACCCTCGACATCTTTTAGCGTGGCTATACCGCGAATGGTGTGTGGATTTACACTGTGATTTGACCGTATTTGAACAGAGTTATTGACTAACTCTGATTTGAAGTTGAATTCATGTCTTTCATCGCACGTACGTTAAATAAAAGTTGTGAATCGCACGTACGTTAAATAAAAGTTGTGAATGTCATCTGATAGGTTTAACATTCGTACCCAGTGCATTCTAGTTTGGCCGAGGACAATTTGTGACCAAAATACGACGACGACGACGACGACGACGACGACGACGAAAAAGAAGGCCGAAACTTTGGAATCCCGAGTAATATTTTAACAAGGTTTCAATAATTTACAGTGATATAACACAAAATATTACAAAATAATTTAAAAAAAAGGAAATAATGAAAACAATATACGTATAATGGTACAAATGAAAGTTCTTGCGGAATATATGACTTAAAAGTGATAACGTGTAGCAGAGTCTATAAATGTCATGTGGAATTTTGCTCTWGAGTGTAGGAGCAGCCTTTGTGAACGTCTGCCGCCAAAGTTTTTACTTAATCTTTCTGACAGAACTAGTAGTGATTGGGGGAAGAATTGTACTTGCGTAAAGCATTCTAAGGTATTACGTTTTTATTGATATGATTTCCTTAGTATTCTAATCAAAACAGATGATGATGTTCATCTGAATGATAACGTTGTTTTAGGAATGGTATCTCAGGCTTCAAATTATTCTCATGTTAAATTTGAGAGAAAGTTCTTAGGGCATTGCTGGCTATTGAAATCACTTTATCAAAAATCCCTTATGTAACAATACAGATGCCATTTATTACTTATTAGTTATCTCCCTTCATCTTTTGATATTTCAGATCAATGTATCCATCATTCACCAATTCAGTTTCAACRGCGATTTCATATTAACAAAAAGTATGAACATATATTGACAATACAGTGTATATGGTTTCATGAATTACCAAAATTTCAAAATCTATTTCTACTGCTACTTTTGTAAAACAAAAATCTTATCCAATATGCTACTAGTCAGTATTTTATAATGTATTTCTAGCGCATATATCTTTGTCTTTCTATGTTTTAAGTAATTCTTTTCGATCCTACACTAAGGAGATTATATTTTTAATTAACAACAGGTTTTAATGATCATTTACTGAATAGTTATTAGGTTTAGTGTGATCGACGTGTTTTAGAGAATTTGCATTAAAGAAAGTATATTTATGTTATTATTGACAGGCATGAATAAAACGTTGTTGTTGTCTCTCAATGATTTAATTGAACTTAGTTTCAATCTA